GCAGGTTGCAACTTGTTGGTTAGTCATAAAATATACTGAGTTGCAATCAACATTTAAAAATATGAAATAGAATAAAATTAAAAAAGAGTAAGAGTCATACATTATAAAGGTAAGTAATATTTCATGAAACTTTTGTTTCAATTATACATGCATGTTCCTGTGTGTGTGTGTGTGTGTGTGCATCTATATTGGTTTAAGTGTATTTTAATGTGGTTCACAGTCTCAAAAAAATCCCTGACCTATAGGATGACTGTATGAGCCAGATCTTTGCAGTGTGGTTCCTTTTTCATTTAGGTTTTATTTCTGAGACAGCGTCTCAATCTGTCGTACAGCCTGGAGTGCAGTGGTATGATTTTGGCTCACTCAACTTCCACCTCCCAGGCTGAATCAATCTTCTCACCTCAGCCTTCCAAGTAGGTAGGACTACAGGTGCTCAACACCACCCCCAGTTAGTTTTCTGTAATTTTTGTAGAGATGGGTTTTGCCACGTTGCCCAGGCTGGTCTTGAACTCCTGGACTCAAGTGATCCACCCGCCTTAGCCTCCCGAAGTTCTGGGATTACAGGTGTGAGTCACTACACCCAGCCTATTTGGGCCTTTCTCAACCATTCTACTTAATACCCATTTCCTCCAGTGCACTTATTCTCATGTTACCACGTTTTGGTTTTATTTTTAGTTTTTGTTTTAAAATTGATTTTTACTATTTTTAATATTAATTTTGACATTAAAAATTTAAATGAATTTGTTTTTAATATTTTAATTAATATCTAAATCATATTTTTAAATTATATTATTTTATTTTTATTCGTAGTCCTTATCACTATTTAAACTCTGATTGTTTATCTTTCTCCCCCACTAGAATCTAAGCTAATGAGAGCAACAGTCATGTTCCCCACCATATTCTCAACGCCTCAAACAGTGTCTCCCCACGCATAATGTCCCCTTAACATTTCTTGTCGGAATAAACTTTACAATTAAATAACTACCAAAGCCAGCTCTTAACATGCTTTAGACTAGGGCATGATGGTCCACACCCATAATCCCAGCACTTTGGGAAGGAGAGTTTGAGCCCAGGAGTTTGAGACCAGCCTGGGCAAAATGGCAAGATTCCATCTCTACAAAAAATAAAAAAAAAAATTAGCCAGTCCTGGTGGCCCATGCCTGTGGTACCAGCTACTTGAGAAACTGAGGCTGCAGTGAGCCATGACTGTGAACGCACTCCAGCCTGGGTGACAGAGCAAGACCCCATCTCAAAAGCAACAACAACAACAACAAAAACATGTGCATCTCATCTCTCTGATCCCTCTAACAAAATCAGCACGTCCCTGTAGGCCTACGATTTAAATTGCGGCCATCCGCTTCAGAATCATGGTCCTTGGGAAAGTCACGTAGTCTTACTTTCATCACTGTGAAAATAAAGACTTAGTCTTCGGACAAGAATCTGATAAAACATCAACCCCAAATACTTTTAGTTTAGAACAGATGAGCAGTGTTCATTTAACATGAGTCAAGGAACAAAGAAAAACCCATGGGATCTATTTCAAAATGAAATATAGGAAGGCCAGAGGCTTCAGGCTCAAGTGCATTTCAAATGTGAATTACCTAACAAATACCTCCATACAATTCAAACTCTTCTAGAGAAGTTAACAGTAAATTTAATGGGATGTAAATGGGAAGGGATTGTACACTGCGAAGGAAAAAAATTAGGAAACAAAATGAATGAAAAGTAATACACACACCAAAATAGGTCTACTAGAGAATCTGTGAAATGTATATTATAGCTCACGAATGGTTGAGTATTAGAAATCTTTTTCTGCATTTAAGGTAAATTAGTGTCCTTCCTGACCCCACTGCTGCTGTGTATATGTGTCTGTGCACATGAGCTTGTAACTTTGGGAAGGACACTGCTGAGTCTGCCTATTTTAGGCATAAAAGTGGTATTTACACGAGAACTCCAAATCGCTCTGTCCCTATTTCTTTTTCTTTTTTTTTTTTTTTTTGGAGACAGAGTCTGGCTCTGTTGCCCAGGCTGGCGTGCAGTGGCTTGGCTCACCACAACCTCCTCCCCCTCACAGGTTCAAGTGATTCTCCTGCCTCAGCCTCCTGAGTAGCTGTGACTACAGGTACGCCCTACTATGCCTAGCTAATTTTTGTACTTTTAGTAGAGACAGGGTTTCACTATGCTGGTCAGGCTGGTCTCAAACTCCTGACCTCATGTTCCACCTGCCTTGGCCTCCCAAAGTGCTGGGATTACAGGCGTGAGTCACCATGCCTGGCCTTCTTTTCTTTGATTGCCTTTTCTTTTCTTTTTTTCTCTTCTCTCCCTTCCTTCTTTTCTCCCTCCCTCTCTTTCTCCCTCTCTGCCTCTTTCTCCCTCTCTCTCTCTCTCTTTCTTTCTTTCTTGAGAAGGGGGTTTCACCATGTTGGTCAGGCTGGTCTTGAACTCCTGACCTCAGGTGATCAGTCTGCCTTGGCCTCCCAAAGTGTTGAGATTACAGGCATGAGCCACCATGCCCAGCTGTACCTATTTCTGCAACCATAATGAGTTTCAAGTAACAGCAAGTGTTGATGACGTTATAGGCTCTGGAGTAAGAGTACATGGGTTTGAACCCCATTTCCACTATTTGTTAGCTATCTGACTTTGAACACATTCTGTAATTTCTCTGAGCTTTTATTTGTATAATTAGAACCTTGCAAAGTTAGTATGTTGACGGAGTTAATAATACCCATAAAGGCTTTAAAACAATGCCTGGTACGTGATAAACCAGTTCATTTACTAGGTATCACACTGCCTATACTAAGCTCTTCAAATGCTCTTTCTTCTTTAATTGTCACAACGACCTTATGAAAAAATTATAAGATATTCATTCAGCCCCATATAGATAAGCAAGTGTAAACCATGAAGATGTTAAATAGCTTGTCCAAAAACTCACAACTAGCAAGTAGTAGAACCAGGATTAAAACGGAGTTTTAGGTGCACACCTCAAACAGGTTTCCTAATAACTGGGCAAATACTGGCCATCTAGCAAATCAGGAAGTAGTATGAGTAATCAACAGCTCAGCTCCATTCTGCTGCAGCTGCGCCGATATGGATATCAGAACAAGGAAATACATTACACATGTGCACACACATATCCACTGTATACACCATGTGTAGCTCTCCAAAAAGAGGCTGAGAACTAAAGCCGACAGGACACTTAGCACATTTTGTTCCCATGCCTTTGCATTATCCCTTCCAGGCTGGTGACTCAATCAAGACAAAAGGAGGGAGATGTTATTCATTTCATAGCAGATTCAACACTGTTACTAAAACGCAGATGATATTCAACAAAGATTTACTGAATACATGAAGAAAATGACACAAGAGAAAGGGCTTCATAAAATTGCAAAGTGCAATTCAAGTTTTTATAAAATCAATTTAATTATTATAAAGTTACATTTATTTTATATGTTATTTCTATGTATGTATTTGTTATTATATTAAGAAAAACATAAATAATTATTATAACCATAATAGGAGCTATAATACTTATCAAAGACTCACTATGTGGCAGGCTAAAGGCTTCATTTCTTTATTTTACTCCTCATTACAACCCTATGAAGTAGGTATCATTATTGTACCCTTTGTATAGAAGAGGGCATATTTAAGGTCACACTCTAGAAACTGCTAGAGTAAGAATTTTGACTCTTTCAATTTTGATATTGAATTCCTTTTCTATATGGTAGTCGGGAAAACATTCTGTTAAGGAAACATATGTTTCACATACCATAAAATTCACCCATTTACACTGTGTAAGTCAGTGATTTTTAGTATATTCACAAACTGTGCAACCACCACTACTATCTAATTTTAGAACATTCCATCACCTCCAAAAGAAATATGGTATATATTAGCAATAGTATATACTATACATACATAAAAGAAATGCAAATTATTTTAAATATAGCCACAATTAAATATATGTATGAATGTATATTTGATTCAGCTAATGCAAAAGAAAATCATGAAATGAATTTTAAAGGGAAAAATATAAGTTGGTGGGCCTTCTGTAATTCTGCATTAGCAACATCACTTTGTTTTTTTTGAAATCATGTAAAGTTTATTGACTGGTACATTAGCAACATCACTTTGAATAAGACAAGTAATCAACAGCTGAAATCTACCTCCAACCCAGATTATTATGGGTCAAATTCTAATTTCAAGGACCCGGAACATTTTTGTATTCACAACCAAACAATAATATTAGAGGATAATATAGGAAAAATAGTGTACAACATAGCTTCCTTCAATATTCCCTTTCTCAGTGTTAAAGGGAAAAGCTTAGGAAATGACAACAAAAGCTTCAAAGGTATAGATCAGGTGTCCCCAGACTTTTTTTTTTTTTTTTTTTTTTGAGACGGAGTTTCGCTCTTGTTACCCAGGCTGGAGTGCAATGGCGCGATCTCGGCTCACCGCAACCTCCGCCTCCTGGGTTCAGGCAATTCTCCTGCCTCAGCCTCCTGAGTAGCTGGGATTACAGGCACGCACCACCATGCCCAGCTAATTTTTTGTATTTTTAGTAGAGATGGGGTTTCACCATGTTGACCAGGATGGTCTCGATCTCTCGACCTCGTGATCCACCCGCCTCGGCCTCCCAAAGTGCTGGGATTACAGGCTTGAGCCACCGCGCCCGGCAGTCCCCAGACTTTTTACACAGGGGGCCAGTTCACTGTCCCTAAGACCGTTGGAGGGCCGCCACCTCCTGTGCTCCTCTTACTGACCACCAATGAAAGAGGTGCCCCTTCCTGAAGTGCGGCGGGTGGCTGGATAAATGGCCTCAGGGGGCCGCATGCGGCCTGTGGGCCGTAGTTTGGGGGCCCCTGGTATAGATTTTCTTTTTTAGCCTATGTTCATGCACATTTTTGAAGAACTCACAGCCCTATATCTGATCATTTACAACAGTCATTAAAACATCATTTAATAAGTTCTACATCTACCCTAAATAGTGAAAAGGCACTCACGGTCAGGAAAGGCATCTTCTTCTTCATTTTCATCACTGACATCAGGTGGAGCTTTATAAGGAGGAGGCAGTTTCATTGGAGGTGGGGCAGTTCCTTGCCTCTGAAGAAATTTGAGAGAAGGGTTAAATGTTTTTGTACAGTGCTAGTCCTTCAATGACAAAAAGCATAAAAAGATAATCTGGAAATATTTGGACTGTACCGAACTCAAACTTCATTCCTATCAGAGGACTGTAAAACAAATACAATGTATTCTTTTATGCTTATGGTATTATATAAAAGTGATTCTGTGATATAAACCTACTTATGCAGAAAAACAGAAATGTAAGACTGTTGATCTACCTAAAAGAATGCATTTCTTTCTCTGGTGAGAAAGTCCGTTGTCTGTATTTTCTTTACATTGTGGAAGCTTAATTTTGTTACTAACCAGAAAATTCAAATGAAAGACATTTCTAAAATAAATGTAAAAGTAAAAACTATGCATTGTATTAACTCTACAATTATTTAAACTTTTTCTTCAATTGTAGAAGTTACAGATTTTACTCTTTAAAAAATACATGAAATACCAAGACTTTCTAACTGAAAACGTATTCATCTATAATTTATAGATGGTCAACACGCATTTTGACATTTTCAAAAAGAGGTATCATCATGATGAATAATTATATCTGCATAAATATTAATTCATTTCATCTACCAAATGATACAGCACATCAATATTTGGTTCATACATACAATTAAAGTAGAACTAAACTCTATAATCAAATTACCTTCACAGAATGAAGACATTTTCTTGAACGCTGCGAGAAATAAAACATGCCAAACTCAATGGTGAGACTGAAGCTGCTAAAAAGAATAGGAGCCGATATACCCAAGCACTCCACAGAAACCAGAATAACTGAATTATGCTACAGGATTTCAATAAAGTACATTCAATTATGCTTTATATGAAAAAACCACTAATGGCAGGATACACTTCAGTAAGTGGCCAATGAGTGGTCCATTACAGAAAGCAGGCATGTAATAAATTCTCCAAAATAGAAAACACTATTTGAGAGTCATAAAGGAAAGCACACACCCATATTTACTTAAGATAATGTCGAACCACAGCAGAAACTATACATTTGTAGAACATCCAAAAATCTATAAAACGCAAGAGTGATGATGGAAGATGCCAAATACAAAATGCCTCCTAGGGAATAGGAGAATACAGAAATGTGATCACTTTGTCTCTTTAATTCTTTTAAGCTGAAGAAACTTAAAACTGAGTGAAATGAAGAGTAAAGGCAAATGAACTCTTTTCAGTAAACCTTTTCCTCAGAACCAGGTTATCCTACGTCAAAGACAATACTCAGAACAAACACAGCCAGGTTTTGAAATAATATTAAGAGATGAATATTCTTTAATGGAATTTTTTTATATCTAAGACAAAATTGTACAACTGACTTATTTAATTAGCTTCTATGGATACTCTTGAAAAAGAATACAGAATAAGCACGTCCTGGTCTCCCTATAGTCTGAATGTGGATTGCCAGATACCAGGGGCATCCTTCTGCTGCACATGAGAGAAGGGTATGTACAGGGCCAGGCTCTCCCCAGGTGTGGCAAAGGCCATTGGAGCAAGGGATGTGAAATTAGACCAGGTGATTCTGACCTCCATGAGGGTAGAGAACGAAACAAACTCTGTGGTATCCTCAACTCTGAGAACAGTCCTGGGAACACCGTAGGCCTCCCTGAACTGTTTGCTGAGTGACTAAACAATTGGTTGTCACTCATGCTGTTTGGGTTCCCTGATGCATTATTAACCTTAGAAAAATGTCAGAAATGCAAATAATTCTTGTTCAGTGTCATTGCATATGAATTTTGTCTGATAGAGATGCAAATGATTTTAGTCCTGTATAAAAGATAACTCCAAAGGTTACAGTTTTATTGCCCTATAAGACATTAACCAGTTTTGTATCTAAATTGGAATCTTAAGCATTCTTTCTTTCAGCAATTGTAAACACTTCACTCTCTTTAACTCTCTCTGAACCAGGCTTACTGTCTTGCTGGTTCCCTCATTAATCAGGTAAATAAATACTTGGCACCTGCACATTTTGCATAATTTTCAGTCATGTTTTTATTTTTTTCTTAAATTATACGTTGAACAGTTTCGGAGGTCCCACTGAGATGCTCGAGCAGACTCACCTACCAGAACCAATTAAACTGTGATGCCTCAGAGATGTAATTCATGAGCAGTTTAAGTCCATTTACATGACTTTTTGGCACCCATGGTTAATTCCAAGTGGCAACAGAACTTTGCCTTTTTGACAGTTCCTCTGATTTTTATTTCTACTTCTATGATTTTGTTTCTGATACGAGACCAAGTTTGGTTCTGATATGTACTTGTAATTTCTCACTGATAGCAGAAATAAATGGAGTTTGTTTTTACGGTCTGACCATTGAGAGTTATTAGTTGGGATGAGAATCTATAATATACTGGTTCTATAAGATCTATTCTCAACTGGTTGAGAGACAACAGAGAATGTGTTTGTTAGTCTTTTGGTTTGCCTGTCTGTGTTTTTGTACAAGAACATGTCTTGGAGGCCAGGCGCGGTGGTTCATGCCTGTAATCCCAGCACTTTGAAAGGCCCAGGTGGGCGGATCACAAGGTCAGGAGATTGAGATCATCCTGGCTAACATGGTGAAAACTTGTCTGTACTAAAAATACAAAAAATTAGCCGGGTGTGGTGGCACGCACCTGTAGTCCCAGCTACTCGGGAGGCTGAGGCAGGAGAATTGCTTGAACCCAGGAGGAGGAAGTTGCAGTGAGCTGAGATGGCGCCACTGCACTCCAGCCTGGGTGACAAGAGCGAGACTCCATCTCAAAAAAAAAACAGAAGAACATGTCTTGGGTCCACTGGAAAGAACAGCTCCTTGGCATAAAACCAGTGGATTTTGCATTCCAATGTGCATATTTAAATATGGTTATAGTTGCAGGACAGAAGCGAACATACTCTGTGTATCAGCACTGGAGAAAGAAAAGTCCTTACCTTTCACTTTGAATGTAAAATATTTTCCTATCTTCAGAGTATATTAATAAATTAATGTGAATCTCTCAAAATAAACAATATGTTTATGATTGGTTCATAGAAATAAGCATTATTTAAATGTAATACTCCCAGAATTTCTAGAAAATAGTTGACTAAATTTACATTACTTTAAATGTACAAGCCTTTTAATAATAATTTTAAGAATCTCTTTTTCACAAAAACCACAAACTCACAATCATTGTTATATAGGAATCCAGATTCACATAATCAAAGTTCATGACCTTTTGGAGAAAGGGAATACATGAAATAACACTGAAGAAAAACTTAGAAAATAGCCAAGAGTTTTTAGAAACCTACAGTTAATACTAGTATTTCTTTTTTGTTTTTGAGACAGAGTCTGGCTCTGTCACGCAGGCTGGAGATTGCAGTGGCACCATCTTGGCTCACTGCAATCTCCATCTCCCAGGTTCAAACAATTCTCTTGCCTCAGCCTCCCAAGTAGCTGGGATTACAAGCATGCACCACCAGGTCTGGCTAATTTTTATTTTAGAAGAGACCGGGTTTCACCATGTTGGTCAGGCTGGTCTCAAACTCCTGACCACAAATGACCCTCCTGCCTCGGCCTCCCAAAGGGCTGGGATTACAGGCGTGAGTCACCGCGCCCGGCCAATACTAGTATTTCTGTGAATCCTGATTGCCTATCCTTGCAATCTACATAATGCAAAACAGGTCAAAAAACAGTGAGCTGAGGCAAACTAGAACAAAACTAGAGACTTACTAAAGATCTACTCACCAGTTTTTTGTTTGTTGGGTGGTTGGTTTAGTTTTTAGTCACTCTCTTCAAAGTGAGTAATCCCAAACCAAACCTAGACCTCTGTTACAAATGAGTGTCAGGTGATTTGTACCGTCTCCCTTTTGACTGTCAGTGATTCTAGAGAACACGTCTTCCTTTTATATTAAGGAGAAAATAACATGCACAAAAATACTTCTTTTAATGATAATAATTTTTAAAGGGATAGATTAGTCACCTGGCCTCCTAACCTTGAAAAGAAGACGCTCCCTCAGCATGTTGGGCACATCTTTATTCCCATACTAATTACACTCTCTTCATTTCACTACATGTGGCACCCTGATCTGAACACCTCTTATGGTGAAGGTGCTTTGTCATTCCAGAATGTAGTATAATGCTTGGCATCTAAGATGTAATTTCAGAGAAAAGTAATACAGTCAAAAGAGCACTCTGCAACCATTAAAAGACCATCCTGTAATGGCGACGTGGAATCTGATGTGATTTCTCCTGTTGCAACATTAATGCAGTGGCTAGGTGTTTTTCTTTGTGACAAATAACTCAGTTGACTTTTCGTATTCCTGGGCTCCTACTGAGGTTTTTACTGAATGCAAATACCCTTGCCATGTATTGAAATTCAATTGGTTCAATGGAGCAGTCCAAAGTTCATAAGAATCATATACCTACTGTTTTCCTTCCTGGGATCTTATGTGGAATTTTCCTCAATAGATTACATAATCTTGTTCTCAGATGTGGTTGGAATAGTAACCATTCACCTGTGTGGTGTTTATTGTCTGTGTCCCCACAAAGTGTTACCTTAAATGTTTCCTTTTTGATGTTAGATCACCAGATCGTTGCACAGAAACTGATTCACTATAGGTAACCAATAAACACTTGATGAATAGTCAGATCTTTGCATCAACATATGAATTCACAAAATTCCAGAAATAGGGTAGATTAAGTATTCTTAGGAGCCCTTCTTAATCACATAAAAATGACAGATTAAAGTTTAAACAGTACGGCTGGGTGCGGTGGCTCAAGCCTGTAATCCCAGCACTTTGGGAGGCCAAGGCGGGCAGATCGCGAGGTCACAAGTGCAAGAACAGTCTGGCCAACATAGTGAAACCCTGCCTCTACTAAAAATACAAAAAATTAGCCAGGTGTGGTGGTGTACGTTTGTAATCCCAGCTACTTGAGAGGCTGAAGCAGAAGAATCGCATGAACCCAGGAGGCAGAGGTTGCAGTAAGCCGAGATTGTGCCATTGCACTCCAGCCTGGGCAACA